GGAAATAGTAACGATTCCCTAAACCTACTTGTAGCGACACAATCTTAGGCAACATTTTAGGAAACGAGATCACAGAATTGTGTGAATAAGTGGATGGGTTATATGAAATTGGGTTGATGAAAAGAGATGCGGCACTAGATAGGAGAACAAAAAATAGGGGCGAGGATTGCTGCCACAAAGGTTGAACCGAAAGTTGGCCTTTACATGGCACTTTGTTAAGTTGTAACTATGTTCTTACCATGCCGGCGAGGCGTTTGGGAAAATACTCAGCCAATAGGCCAATGTTGGAAATCACGTACACTATGACAGAGGACACGGGACTAGATACGTTCTACAAGATCTCCCTTTCTCTCCAATCAAGTTGCGAAAACAAGCTCAATTTAACACTGTAAAGCTAACGGAGACTGCTACTAAACAGACCACACCATCTTAGTCTTCATATCTACGATTTAATTATTTTTCGTTAGTAAGTTGTTTTTCGAGACTCTCACTCTCTTCCTTTATAAATAATTAACGTCTAGAAATTCTGTATGTTAACGATAAGACATATATTTCTGTCTCTATTTACTTTGTTCAAGATACCTCACTTAATGGCCACAGTTCTACAATAAAGCTCTTTAAAGGATTTAGTAAATATCAATTTACCATCTTTTACATACTATCTTTGTTCATTGTTAATCAATGTTGAGGTTGATTTTTTTATATTGGTAGTTATCTGACTGCCTTTTACGCTATAGGGGTCTTTTGCAAGTTATTCAGCAGCAACTCTGATCTTTAGTGACTTCGTCATCTGATGTTTTTCTACTCAGATTCCATTTTTAACATACAATGTATATAAGAAGATTTTGTACAAAAGAGTGTTTGATTATGGGTTAAAGACATTAAATATCTTTATATGCTACCAAATATAGAAGGAGTGCCTATGAAATCATGACAAATATGAGAAAATACAGTTATAAATTTGTTATGGACTAGTATGTCCCCCTAGTTTTGACTTTTATTGACTTTCATTAATACTCCCAGCAGGAATCGAACTCGAGTAATGCAGCATTAAGTTTCTTTTGTGCTGGATGTGTTCAGACCCAAGCGTGTTTCAAACAGCATTTGGGTTTTGTACAGCGGAGCTATGTGGGTATAAAAAAATAAATCCTGTCACATTAGTTTCTTTTAGAGCTAAGAATGGAATCTTAGTTCCTGCAGGCAAATCATCTTTGGGACGAAGTATTATTGCTTAAAGTGTGTGTGCTTCTCATGAGCGACGCCAGTTGCATCCCCTTTTTGCAGCGACCCATCATAATTTCGTAGAATTGACAGCTACAAAGTTCATGTACTCCTTCGTTGACCTACTTACTGTTTGCATATCCTGGATTTCATCGCCTTTATCTCTTAAGTTACTGTTAACTTATCTCACTAATTTAAACATACACAAACAAGAAACATATTTCGCAGACTCTCTAGGTCACTCGCTCCTGATATATCATATCCATTAATCCTTACTCTCACACCGAGTGCCTAATAGATCTCTTACATGTGTTTTGCTTTTCATCCCTTTTTCCCGATCCAGATGAATCCGGTCATAAACCCCTTTCCTCCAGTTTTCCAGAGGAGGCTGTTCACTTTGCTGAGGGGGACTCAGCTCGGATTGAAAATGAGCCCGAAAAACATTTTTTTCTTTCAAATTCAAATGAAAATTATGAACCTTGCTATTCTTTGGCCCCAAGTGCTCCATTTACCTATCGTTTTTCTACGATTAATTCTGTTTCTCGTTTTTCCTGTGAGGAATCAATTGCCAATTCTTGCACTCCAGTTGAGCCTGGTGTTGATCCAGCCGTTTCTTCACTGTCATCCGCTCTTTCTTGTGTCCCACCAAATGTCCCGTCATCGAAAACCCCACCATCATCTGGAGCTGCGACCCCAATCTTATCATCAATGCCTTATGTTAATTCTTCGGAATTGGATACATTGCTAGGTCATGTTAAAACAGGCGAAGGCGTTGCTAGTGTAGGCCCTCCTTGCTCGAGTCGTAGCAATGAAAGCCCTGATGTCCTGGATATTGGTGATAGTGGCAGTGTTACCAATGGATCTGCCAATAGTCTTGGCTGTAGCGGGGATGCTAGTGAGGTTGATTATTCTGTTGGTGGTGGTGAGACCGGCGGATTAGGAAATCATTCGGGAACAGACAAACATTTGATTCAACATCACAACCACTTACACCAACGACAGTTTCAGCATCTACAACTACAACCACAAAAGCTGGAGCAATCGGTGAATGGTGTATATACCAGACAGGATTTTGCCAGGTACACATTCATCCGCCTGCATATCTCTGTATAAGAGCACGAGTTGATTTAATCTGATAATTAATCACTGAGTTTCACCAGGCTAGATAATTTTGATGCCTGAGCTTGTTTCACCTTGAATTTTTTAAATAATTAATTTGGTGTTAAATTTTTTTTCGTCTTGCTTCATATTCACGATTTTGAACACATTTTTAATGGCCTACTCTTTTCTTCCCTCCTTGTTGCCTTTTAATGAAGGAATTCTTTCCTTACTCTTTTCTTTAGATGGTTTTTCATTATGTCTATCTAGCTATATGATTTATTACATCACCAAGTATTGATTGTATTTGTTCATGGAATTGGTTAGTCTTAATTTTCGTAGCTCTCGTGAAGATTGCTCCTTTCAGTAGTAAGTGACTAGTAGTGCCAGAAACGTTCACTCACTTTTAACATTTTAGTCACTATTTTAAGTTATAATTAATATCTCTTGAAATTTTTCGTCATCTGCCCCAAGCGTTGATTTCACGTATGCTGTAGTCAGGGTCTCAAAGCTCTGAGTCTTAATTTTTTGATAAGACTCCACTATTATAGACCAACTTAGCAGTGTGTTACTCCTTATCTCAATCCGGAATGTATAATGGGCTTATCTCATGATCAGGTATTGATTGTCCCCACGGACCATCTCTATCATTCAACCTGTGTGCTCTGAGTCAGCTGGGGATCTATATTTCTGATCTTCGCTGCATTTATCCTGGATCTGTATTATAACTGGCTTCGCTTTACTATCCGTAATGGAAAGTTCATACGAAGGTTGTGGCTAACTACCCAAGTTTCCTTGTGTACCTGATCTTCAGAAATTGTAGTTATTTCCTTGGGTTGACTACATTTATCACAAG